AATATTTTTTAGACGATTTATAGACGATTAATTATTAAATCATCTAAAAAATATTATTTTTAAATGATTTAATAATATTATTTATTAAATCGCTTAAAAAATATTATTTTAAATGATTTAATAAATATTATTATTAAATTGCCTAAAAATAATATTTTTTAGATGATAAATCACCTATAAAATATTATTTTTTAGACAATTTATAAACGATTAATTATTAAATCATCTAAAAATATTATTTTTAGGTGATTTAATAATAATATTTATTAAATCGTTTAAAATAATATTTTTTAGGCAATTTAATAAATAATATTATTAAATCGTTTAAAAATAATATTTTTAGACGATTTATTTACCTAAAATAATATTTTTTAGACAAATAGACTATTATTTATTAAATCACCTAAAAAATATTATTTTTAAATGGTTTAATAAATATTATTATTAATTATTAAATCATTTAAAAAATATTATTTAGGTGATTAATTATTGAAAATAATATTTCTAGGTGACTTAATAATTAATCGCCTAAAAATAATAATTGGTGCAACCTTAGATTAGATAGTGAGCCTCTAATTTCTCTTGTTGCTGTTGTTGTTGTTATCGCCATTTTTATTACTGTTGCCATTTACTTCACTTATTGTTTTTAAAAGGGCACTAATGTAAAAAGACAAGTACAAGAAATACCTTGTGCATTCACAATATAGTTAGAGTTATCTCTACAAGAAGAACCATCAGAGAAATCGTCTGAAGAATAGTTTCTAAAAAAATAATTACAAATAATTCTTTATTCTTTTGCAATAGAACTTAAAAAAATAAAGGTAAAATGTCAAATACTGAAGACTATTCTGAAGAACTTTTTGAACATTTTGAAGAACTTTTTGAAGAACTTCCTGAAGAACATCTTGAAGAACATTCTGAAAACCATACCTCTAATATAGAAGTTCTTGATGTTCAAAACATAACCACATCTTCCTTAAAAAAAAGGATTTCTAAAATTTATCAATATTTTATTTATGGAACTGATAAAAGGTGGCACTGTAAACATTGCACGCAAGTATTATTTATTTTTATTTACATTATTTTATTTTTATATTTATTATTTTACATTTAACATTTCTTTATCTATTATAGTGTTAGTATTTCTGACAAATCTACATCAACTTTAAATCGTCATATGTTCC